TAAGTATGTGCTTAATGCCAAGGCATCTTGAATAGTTCCAGTTTCTGGATACTCTATGGAAGGAGAAAAATGAATTCTAATAACTACATGTCTTGTGCTGTTTTTGGTTTCCTAATATTTGTGTGAGAAATACTACAAGAATATAAATGGCAAATGCTACCAAAATGGTTTATTAAAATAATCTAATAAATTTATTTATTGATGTTGCCATAAATATAATAGAAAAGCCCTTCACTGAAAGGTGTCCCTAGCTAACTATGCCACCGGAAGCCCAGACGCAACTTGCAGAGCATGTCAACCTTGTAAACATCTTGAAAAAAGGTGGACAAACATTCTTGATAATGGAGACGACAAAGCCTCAGTGTTCTTCCTTAGCCAATATTGCTACTTTGTTTGGATTAAGCCAGTCAACTGTCTTTTATTTAAGCATTAATTTTACACTCATAGAAGTCTGTCCAGGTCAAGATGGAGATTCACACAGGGCAGTGGAAAGAAGGTACCTATGTCAGTCTGTTCTGTAGGTAACGTGCACTCCCCCCTCCCCTTTATTTGTTGCCTCCTCCGGTCACTGAAAAGAATCTCACTAACTTCAAATGAATTAAATAAAAAAATATTAGTTGTGAGGGCTGACAGTTTCGTCCTTTATCTTAATCTTTATCTTAATAAGAAGTGGAAGAAAAAACATTAAATTGCTTTAGTGATAAGTTTGTGCCTTTATCATATTTAAAATGGTGTTATGGAATGGTAATCCATGATAATGGTCCTCTTTTCCATTTTAAAAGAAATAATAAAACCCCCCTCAGATTATTATAAGCCTTGTAAAACCTTTTGTGTATACAGAGATTTGTATCTGACATGTTTCCATTAAGCAGAATATTTAAATATGATTTGAACATGTTTCTACTGGAAAACTGTTATGATATTCAATGAGTAGGTGTAACAAGCTGTAGGAACCAAGAAATTAAGAAAAATATTGCAAGGCTGTCAAGAGTAGGCGTAGACATTTTGTACCTGCTAAACTAAAATGATGGGCCTAACATTTAAAAGAATATGCCAGTGCAGTAGTCAAGCAGGAAAGTAATTTAGATAATGATCTTTTCTCTACTATTCAATCAGGCCTAATTCTGGTTTCTCACGGGCTGCTCTGAATGCTCCAGTATTACCCACACCAAGCAGCCAAAAGGCTGGTTTTACTGATTGCTTGGGACTTTGCTTTTCACATAGAGCCAGCATGGCAGTTCTGTACCACAAACCCTCAAGTCGCTCCTCATGGAGTCATAACCTGGGGAAGACAGCATGGCTAGGTTGTTTGCTCTTAATTATTCCTGCATCCTGGAATTGCCTATTGGCATTAAAATTAGGCTAGGGACAAGACTAGTCTGCTGCTGACCCATGAATCTAGGGGCTATCATAGACGGTGTGAATCCAGCCCTCATTCAGAACTTGTGCCCCTCTCTCCACAGCAAGCCAATATAGTCAAAGTTAAGCAAAATTTTCAATAAAAAAACCCACTTTGCCCTGTAAAGACACAACTACAAATAGAATTAAAAAACTTTAATTCCATATTTACTTAAAGAAACAGAAGGGTGCTTGTGTTACGGATTTTTGCTGATGTGTTTTATTTTTTTTAATTGAAAAATTTTCAGATTAAATGAACAATAAAAATTTGACCTATAGAAAAACTAAGGACTTTAAATAGAAAGAAGTAGGTGTAGGTAAATAAAAGATTAAACTTTGCAATATTTTAATATAAGATAGTGTTTCACGATTTCAGTTTTTACTGAAACTGACCAACAAATTCCCTGATTTTTTTACTGAAGTTATTTGGTTTTTACTGATTTACACCCGTTTTTTAGTTCACTCAATTTTACCGGGTACAGTAAAATCCCTGTTAACCGGCACGAGTGGAGAATAGCTGGGGTGCCGGTAAGCTAAATGTGCCAGTTACCCAAGGCACAGGTTTCCAGCTGGACATGGTGGGGAAGGGGTGTGGTACCTGCCACATGCAGAGAAGGGGATGGTGGCCGCACAAGGGTCAGGGGAGGTTGCCTGGAACCACTGCCTGCGGGCTGCTGGGGCTCTCTGCTCTGAACCCAGGCCTGGCAGCTCCAGCTGCGGCCCTGGCCCAGGTGCTGGGGAGCTGCAAGCCCTGCCAGGAAGGGAGGCAGGAGAGCCTGGCCCTGCTCCCTGCGGGCGCTGCACCCGGCCATTCTGCATGGGCCTGCAAGGCTGGAGCCACTTTCCGGGGTCATGGGGCTCCTGCCTCTGACCATAGGCGTAGCAGGAGGTGCCAGTGCTGGTGCCAGAGTTGGGTCTCCCCCACTCCACGTCAGCTGAGCAACTCTCCCCCCAGCCCCTGGGCTGCGCCGTGCTGTGGTGCAGGCAGGTGGTGTTGGCTGCTTCCAGGGCTGCTGCAGCAGGGGCTGGGGTGAGTGGGTACAAGCTGCACCGCACCCCTCGGGACTCCATTTGTTCCTACTCACCCCAGTCCCTGCTGCAGTGGCCCCAGGAACGGCAGTCGCCAGCTGCAGAGGTAAATCAATGGGTGCAGGGCGCAGGGCAGGGCGTGTGGCTCTTGCTGTTCTGTGAGCCCTGGGAGGGCTGCACTGGGCCGTTCCTGCATGCTGGACGAGATCTGCATGCTGGTTGAGAGCAGGCTGCTGCCCGCCCCGAGCACCAGGAAGAGCCTGGTGCTGCTGCCGGCCCCAGCCTACAAAGGCAACCTGCTCTCATCCTGCATGCAGATCTGGGGGCAAGCGCCCCCACCCTAGGAATAGCCCAGTGTAGCCCCACAGCCTGCCCCCCTCCTGGGGTGCACATAGCAGCAACAGCCACCCCGCCCTGCCCTGTCCTACACCTGCTGAGTTCCCTCCGCTTTGCTCCGTCCTGCAGCCCTGGGAATGGAGGGATGGGCTGCACGCACCCTCCACCCCTTCCCTAGTCCCAGCCTTACTCTCTCCCTTCCTCACCGCCACGGGAACATATTATTTTCCCCAGTTTTTTTCTTTTCTTCCTTTTATCCTGATTTCAACCCAATTTTTATGTTTGGAAAATAAACCCTGAAAAATTCCCAATTTTTTTTTTTTTAAATAAAAACTGAAAATGTGGAACACTAAAGATAAATCTTGATGCATGAGCTACTTAAAATGGCTATTTGACTTAAGAAGAATACATATTCACATTAATTAGGACCCAGTTATACTGAGATTACCTCCTCCCCCCCCCCCCACATTGATTTCTTCTGGTTTTCAATTCAAGTCAATATCAGTTAAATGTGTAAAGGCTGGGGGCATAGTCCCATTTATTCTATTAACAGAACCACATTTTGGGGCTCATTAAAGCTAGGATTTGCCAAACAAGATTTGGGCTATAAAATCCAATTAGCAATGTAAAATTCTTGGAAGGCTGCCTGGGATTTCCAGGGGTTGTCTATACTGCAGGAAAATATGTTTCAGGAATACTGAATGCATGGAATGGTTTGTGATACCATAACTTGTACTTGCAGTGATTTATCATATCCACGCATTGGCATTATTTCTGGCATAACCATTTTAGTGCCCTCTTGAGGTATCTATCCATCTAAATTCAGCAATGTTTCTGGGAGCAAGTGATTCTGAGGTTTCTTAATATGGGGAAACTTGCACTGGAGGGAATGGATTAGAAGAGCTGCCTGAACGACTTGCTGTGGAGGAGCTCTACGCTGAAGGTGCAAGATGTAGGGTACATAGGTTGCTGGTTCTGACGGTTTGAACCATTTGAATTGGTTAAAACTGGTATCAACTGATTCTGACTAGTTTGAACCTGTTCAGTGGCCATGTATAGTGGTGCACAGGGATGTACGTGCACCCCCTGAGAGTGCTGATGCACCCCCTGTCAGCCCATGTTCCCAGGCGGGGGGGGGGAAGGGGGGCAGGCAAGAGTGCCAGTGCCCCCCTCAGAGCGCCAGCTGGGGAATGCAGACACCAGGAGAAGTGGTCTCCCCACGGCCAATCATGTGCACCTGGAAGTGCCAGTGGCACGCTGCTGCCACTTGTGGGTCAGCGGAATTGGCCCCAGGGGAACCCCCCCCCAATCTGCAGGATCAGCTGTGTGGGGACCTTCCCCTGGTTGCTGACTGTCCACTGAGGGGGCAAGTGCCCCCCCCCCCCCTAACTCAGGAGGCACCAGTTGCCTGTGAACTTGTTCCAACTGGTTTGAACCTGTTTTGAAAGGTTCTGCCTGGTTTCAACCAGTTCCGAATGGTTTTGACCAATTCTGACCAGTTTTGACTAACTTGAACCTGTTCCAACTGGTTCCGGTTGGCTTGAACCCGTTCTGACTGGTTTTGAAAGATTCCAACTGGTTCTGACTGGTTTGAACCTGCTCTGATCGGTTCTGACCGGCCTGAACAGGTCCCAAGTACTTTGAACTGGTTTTGGGTGGTTTGATCCGGTTCTGACCTGTTCCGGCCAGTTTAAACCAGTTCCTACTGTTTTGAACAGTACTGACCAGTTCCACCTGGTTTGAACTGGTTCCGACAAGTTTGAGTTGGTTCCTATCAGTTGTAATAGCTTTGAACGGGTCTGATGGTTTGATCTGGGCCCTCCACTGCAGAAAGGATGTGGACAAATTGGAGTCCAGCTGAAGGCAACAAAAATGGTTCAGGGGCTGGGGGACATGACTGGTGAAGACAGGCCGAGGGATTTGGGTTTATTTAATCTGGAGAAGGAGAGACAGAGGTGACTTAATAGCAGCCTTCAACTCCCTGCAGGGTGGTTCCAAAGAGGATGGAGCTGGTCTGCTCTGTGGTGGCAGATGACAGAACAAGGAGCAACGGTCTCAAGTTGCAGCAAGGGAGGTTTAGGTTCGTCACCAGAGTTGTGAAGCCCTGCAACAGGTTACACAGGGTCCGAGACGCGGTGGAGTCTCCCTCCTTGGAGGTTCTTAAGACCAGACTGGACAGAGCCTCGAGTGGGGCGATGACCCCTCCGGTCCCGTCCAGCCTTCCTGTCTCCGATCCGATGCCGCAAAGCACCACCCGCTCCGCGATGCTGCACCGTCGCTTCCTCAAGGTATTCATTCCCACCGCCAGGCTCCCGGGTGCGACCCGCCCGCGGGATCTGGAAAGAAAACAGCCGCTTTCCCCTCGACGCTTGGAGCCCCCAGGCCTTGCGGCTTTGCATCAAGGGGCGCCGCTGCGCGGAGCCGGGGCTTTGATCAGCAAGAGTCGGGCGAGTCTCAGGCTGAGAGCTCCGCGCGGGGAGGGGCCTGTGCTGCCGGCGCCGAAGTGCAGTTTGGCAGAGGTGCGCCGGGGGCGGCGGGAATTTCGAAGGCTGCGGTGGGCGCGATGCGGCGGGGCCGCGTGGCCTGGGCGCCGCGTGGCCGGGGCCTGCCCAGAACTGGGGGAGCCGGTAAGGAGCGCGCTGCCCATCCCGCGGCGGGTGGATCGGGCCTGGGGCCCCAGCCCGGCACAGGCAGGGCACGGCCAAGGCGGGGGCAGGGGGCCCTTCCACCGCCCCGCGCGCAGCCCATGGCGTCATGCGGCAGGATTTAAACA